AACCCTAAACCCTAAAATATTAAGAGAGGAGGAGAAGTTTATAATATACACAATAACATCCGATCTCCATTGAACAATAATGTAAATAAATGCCGAGGGTTTGGCGTGTCATGCTGTCGGTGTCCATAAAGAATATAGGGCTAGGGTTTTGCTAGGGTTTAGCTAGGGTTTAGGGTTTAGGGTTTACCAGTCATCAACTCCTTGTCCCCATATAGCAATTGTATCGTCATAAGAGGCAGACGCTAACAAATCCTTCTTTGGGTGCCAGCAAACCGCCTTTACATCTGCATACACACAAACCCTAAACCCTAAACCCTAAACCCTAAACCCTAAACCCTAAACCCTAGAGAGGAGTCTCACGGTTTCTATAGGATAATTAATTACCTTGTGAATGACCTGTTAAGACAGAGGCAACAACGAAGTCTCCCTCTTCCTCATCTTGTTCTTGCTGTTGCTGCTGCTGCTGCTGCTGCTGCTGCTGCTGCTGCTGCTGCTGCAGTATACCCTCTTCTTCTTCTCCCTCCTCCTCCTCCTCCTCCTCCTCCTCCTCTATTTTGCTGAATATCCAAATTGTTTTGTCGCGGCTGCAAGTCGCCAACAGATTTCCTGAACTATTCCATGCTACTCCCTTCACCTGTACACAAACCCTAAACCCTAAACCCTAAACCCTAAACCCTAAACCCTAAACACTAAAAGGTAAACATTTAAGTTTCAACGATAATGCGGTGGATTGAGTGGTAAAACCTGACAAGAATGAAACACAAACCCTAAACCCTAAACCCTAAACCCTAAACCCTAAACCCTAACCTCATGCTCATGTCCAATGAGGGTTTGCAGCAATCGAATTTGTATCGGTGGATCTCTTGTTGCAACTGCAGCACTATCACTCCCTCCTTCCTGCTGCTGCTGCTGCTGCTGCTTCCGCTGCTGCTGCTGCTGCTGCTGCTGCTGTACTGTCCATATAGATGCAGTAGAATCAAAGGAAGCAGCAGCAAGAAGAGAACCATCAGGACTCCAAGACACGGAACGAATTGCTCGGCTGTGCACACCGTCACCAGCTGTACCCTGTACACAAACCCTAAACCCTAAACCCTAAACCCTAAACCCTAGGGGAACAATAAAAAAGTATAGGCATTAAACCCTATACAATCAGCCATTAACAATATACAATAAACCCTAAACCCTCGAGGGTATACGCTGTGATCCTACGTACCCTGTGCACACACTCTAAACCCTAAACCCTAAACCCTAAACCCTAAACCCTAGAGGAGACTTACTAAGCATTGCCATTGGCCAGAAGGGTCTCCCGTTGCTGCAAACAAACAAAAGAGACACAAAGGGGAGACATGTAGCAACAGCAGCAAAAGGAGGCAGCAAAAGGGTGACAAAAAAGGATACAGTAGGAGGAAGAAAAGGAGAAAGGAAGGAGACAGCCGTAGAAAGGAAAGAAAAGGAGACAGCAAGAGGAGAGGAAAGGGGACAAACGATAAAGAAAAAAGTCCAGAAAGGAAAATAATACAAGAAAACATACAATTTTAGGGTTTTAGGATTTTTCGGATTTTTAGGGTTTAGGGTTTAGGGTTTAGGGTTTAGGGTTTAGGGTTTACGGCCCCAGATATGAATAAGTCCATCTGCACCACAAGAGGCTAAAAGACGATCGCCATTAAATTGGCAATGCCAAGCAGCACCACGGTGAGCAGCTAAATGAGCTATACGCTTCATTGCTGCTGCTGCTGCTGCTGCTGCTGCTGCTGCTGGTGTTGCTGCTAGTGTTGCTGGTGTTGCTGTTGCTGCTGTTGTTGCTGCTGGTGTTCCTGGTATTGTTGCTGATGGTGTTGCTGCTGTTGCTGTTGTTGCTGCTAATGATGATAATTGTGTTGCTGCTGTTGGTGCTTCTGCTGCAGTTGTTGCTGCTGTTGATGCTGCTAATGTAGCGACTTCCTGCAGCAATGATGCTGCTGATCCTGCTGCTGTTGCTGCTGCTCCTGCTGCTCCTGTTGCTGCTACTGTTGTTGCATAGGAATAGGCCTAAGGAGGCGGCACGGCTGCAGGTGGACCCTTTGTGCCGGCTCCATAGCTAAGGTGTTTAGGGTTTAGGGTTTAGGGTTTAGAAATTGGTGTTTAAAGGCAAGTGTTTAGGGTTTAGGGTTTAACATTCGTCTAGAAGAAGACGCAATGCAGATAGAAGGCAATAGCCTAACCAGCAAGCTAGTGAGGATCCTAGGGTTTAGGGTTTAGGGTTTAGGGTTTAGGGTTTAGGGTTTAGGGTTTAGGGTTTAGGGTTTGGTAGAGTTAAGCAAACCCTCATAAACAAAATGCATAATGAATATAAAATAGAAGATCTAATATAATTTAATTATTAAGTAATATGTGCAGCAGGAATAGTTGCAGCAGCAGCAGGAAGAGCAGCAGCAGCATGAGCAGCATCAGCAGCAACAGCTGGTGTTGCATGCGGCAGTGAGAGCGAAGGCGGCGCTGCTGCTGTGCTGCGCTGCTGCTGCCGCTGCTGCTGCTGCTGCAGCAGCAGCTGCTGCTGCTGTCTTAGGGTCTGTTTGTGTGTCTTTGATGATTAAAGGAATTGTTTTGTCTTTTTGTGTGGTAGTTTTTGGGCGTCTCATGGCTATAAACCCTAAACCCTAAACCCTAAACCCTAAACCCTAAACCGTTGGATGAATTTTGCGCCGCCCCAGTTAATCGTGCGTGTTTCTCTTGGGGTGTACAGACAGCTGATTGGTGTCTCCCGTGATAAAAGGGAGGAGTATAAAATATATTAATATTTATGCTGTTAGGTTAGCAGCATTTGTATAGAGGAGGAGGAGGAGGAGGAGCAGCAGCAGCAGCAGCAGCAAGGGTCTTATCTTTGTCATCATATTATAATACATATATATATATAAGGATAAGGATAAGGGGGAGCAGCAGCAGCAGCAGCAGCAGCAGCAGGATAATAATAAGGAGCAGCAGGAGCAGCAGGAGAGAAATAGATAGAGGATGGCGATGTTGCCATTCTATAGGTGTGTGGGGCATAAATGTATAATGTTGCTGCTGCTGCTGCTGCTGCTGCAGGTGCAGCAGCAGCAGCAGGAAGTAAATGGACAAGTATTAGGTATAGATCTAGGGTCTGAATATATAAAAGCAGCAATTGTTGCACCTGGTAAGAGGATGGAGCTGCTGCTGAGCAGCAGCAGCAGCAGGAAGCATGCAAATGCTATTTCTTATATAAATAAGGAGACAAGAAGTATAACAGAGGAAGCAATAACGCATGCATATAAAAGCCCCAAAAAAGTGTTTGTTGCTACGAATTTATTCTTAGGGTTAGCAGCAGAGGAGGTAGGGGATATAGATAATAATAATCCTGTTACTGTTATAGGTTCATCTGCTGCTGCTGCTGCTGCTGCTGCAGCTAATTGTATACAAGATAGTATATGTACAAGTAGCGAGGGTTTAGTACCCGTAAACCCTAAAAAAGGGTTTTGGCCCGGGGGTTTAGCTAAACCCTATTATCCATGGGAAGTGTTTATGTCCCCTATAAGAGGAAATATATTATATAAAGTACGTGATGATTTGCTGCTGCCCCCTGAGTTCCTTGCTGCTGCTGTATTATCTAATATAAGACAAGCAGCAGCAGCAGCAACAGGTAATAATCCTGCTGCTCCTCTTGCTGCTGTTGTTACTATACCATGTAATTATACACAAAGACAGAGACAAGCACTAAGGGACACCATGGAGATTGCAGGGTTTAGGTTATTAGGGTTTATATCTCATGCTGCTGCTGCTGCTGTACAGCATGCATTAGATAAATATGATGCAGCAAAAGCAGCAGCAGCTGCAGCAGCAGCAGGAACTGGAACAGCAGCAGGAAGTAGTACTTCTACTTCTACTGCAGCAACTGCAGCAGCAGCAGCAGCAGAAAAAGAAGAAACAAGAAAGATGTTCCTTAATGTTGGCAGCAGCACAGTTGATGCTGCTATTGTCTCATTTAAGAGCAACAGCAGCAGCAGCAGCAACAGCAGCAGCAGCAAGAGCAGCAAAAGCAGCAGCGCGCAGCAGCAAAATGTACCACAGGTCACCATTCTTGGCTGCGGTAGCGTCGCAGCAGGAGGAGGAAGAGCTGTTGATGTACTTCTTGCAGAGTCTCTACGACGGTAAGGCCTCTAGGGTTTAGGGTTTAGGGTTTAGGGTCTAGGGTTTAGAGTTTGTATAAGGGTCTGTGTAGGGTTTAGTGTTTGTCAGTGTTTTCTAGGGTCTAGGGTTTTCTAGGGTTTACTATTTGTTAGTGTTATTTTTCTAGGGTTTAGGGTTTAGGGTTTATAATTTTTTTAATTATTTTATGTATTTTTATTTATTAGTTGTTTTTTTAATTTTTTTGAATTTTGAGGGTTTATATTTTTTTTTAGGGTTTAGGGTTTAGGGTTTAGGGTTTAGGGTTTAGGGTTTTGGGGTGTATATACAGTACATTTGAGGAGGAGAATAAAGAAGATTTATCGAATTATCCTCGTGCATTGAAGAAGTTGGAGATTCGTGCAGGAGCAGCAAAGAAGGTATTAAGCGCGAATAAGGGTTTAGGGTTTACGATGGAGGGTTTACATAAGCAGAAGGATTTACGTAAACCCTTAACTCGTGATGAATTGGAGGGTTTACTAGAGGAGAGTGGTTTGCTGCAGCATATTCATACAGCAGCAGAAGGAGCAATAGGATCAGCAGCAGCAGCAGCAGGAACAAGAAAAGAAGAAGAAATAGAGAAATTGGAGGCAATAGAGTTATTAGGTGGTGGATGGAGGATACCTAGGGTTTATAAAGAAATACAAACCCTAAATAAGGGTTTAGGGTTACAAACCCTACTTAATGCTGATGAGGCAATGGCTACTGGTGCTGCAGTTGCTGCAGCAAATGCAACAGCAGCATTCCGTGTAAGAAAGTTGCTGCTGCAGGATGGATCTCCTTATACATATTCCTTACGTTTCTACGGTCTACAGGGAGAGGAAGAGGACCAGCAGCAGCAG